ATAAATAAAGGATGGGTGCTACTTCACGCAAATCTGAACATGAAGAAAGAGGGAAGCTAACATTCAATCCACCACCAACCCCACCCCGCCTTCCCTCCCTCACTCACCTAGAAGACTGTGGGTGGGAGAGAAGAAAATGGGTGAGAAGGTGGCAAAGCCACAGAAGCACTGCTCAGTCTTTCATACATGGTTTCTTAATAAATCATCAACACAGCCACAAAGACTAGTAGCCATCAGCAGGGATGCACTGGAACAAGTACTTATCCATCCACCCAGCTATTTATGGTATGGACTGGAAAAGTCAACAGTTGAGAAAAGTGGTAAGCACTCTCCCCTATGGCTAGCCCTTCTTACAGTTATTAGCCCTGGGATACTGCACCATCCCCTTGTTGGTTTCCTTAAACCCTACCCATATCTTTGTAAATATAGTCCCTTTATTAAATTCTTCCCAAACCCAGCTTGAGCTATCTGTCACCTGCAAACAGCCTCACTGAAAAAAGAGTATTACTGCTTATGGAACACTCTTCTCAATCGTATCTCATTGGAAGAATGAAAACAAAGACAATCAAACAAGAATAACACAGAGTAGTAGATAAAGTCTGAACTCTGGAGTCCCTCAGTGGTTTGAATCTCAGTCCACCATTTTCCAGCTGTGTGACCTTAAATAAACCATTTCACATATCTGAGCCTCAGCTTCCTCATCTATAAATTCCTAATGAAATAATTACTGCTAGTTTTAAAAATTAAATCATATAATAACTTAGGTAGCATTCCAACCATAAAGAAGATACTCTGTAAATTACATGTCCCTTTCCTCCTTCCTTCTCCTGATCCTATTTGACCCAGATGCCCATATCTCTAAGAGAAGAGATATAACCTGCTCTGATGTGTCCATCCTTATCGCCTACCATACATACCTCAGTCAGCTGAAGAAAGGCCAAGCATTCAGTCTCAGTAAAGTCTTAACATATCCAAAACTAAACTGCCTCCAGCTTCTGGAATTTAATTCCGAACATTAACTGCTCCTAGCTTGCAATATACCTGAGGTGCCCATTATTGGTCCACCACTTGACCAACAAAGGGCACTGCTCATGGAACCAAGTAAGATTAGCCTCCAGGACCCTTCCTCACCCGCCTGCCCACCCCAGTTCTACAATGCCATTTCAAAGACCTCAAGAGAAGATGTTGGAATCAGCATCTCAGATTCCAAAAGCCAACACTTAAACTGGGCCCTGTTCACATACAACAAAAGCTTAAAAGAAAGTCATAGTTTGGTATTCCTATCACCCACTTAGACTCTCTGCAACATTCAGAACAAGATAAAGAAGAAGTTAAAATCACCACCCTCTTATGGTGTCCTTTCCTCCCATAGCAAAGTCCAGAAAAAAAAAAAAAAAAAAAACAGCAGAACCCCCCACTCTCCTGATTTACCTTCAGGCTCAGCCACAGAGTAAAAAGGGGCAGGAGCTGATCTCTCAGACCCAAAATGGCCAAAATCAAGCACTCACCTTACAGCCCAAAATACAGTCTTACAGCCACACACAGCAAGGGTGACAACGAACCTCAGAACGGCAGATACAGGGCAGGAATTGGCTCAGCCTCACTTATGAACCTTTGCACTGGGAGAGGCAGAGAGGAGGGAACTGGGGGAAGGGATATACCTGCAACACCTACGTTGGACAGGGAGAGACCAAAATGATCTTCCAAGAACAGGTCAGTAAAATTCTGTGGTTTCTCTCTCCTTACGATGGCTCTTCCTAGGCAAGAAGGATGAATGGGCTGTTACACTAAATACTGAAAGGTGAATGACCTGATTAAAATCTCATAGTAATACAAAGGAAAAAACAAACAAACAAACCAAAAACACCACCTACTAGGAATTTACTACAGCTCAGTTTACACATACCTTCCCTGCTTTTCCATCCCTCAGACAAATGGGATGTCAGGGTATGGTCCCAACTCATTCCCTTCCCTCCCCACAGTATCGCTTCTGCTTCTTGCAGGGATCTCCTCATCTGACTCCAGCACAGCCCATCTAATTCACAAAAGTGAACCTCTATTCTACAGTGACTCCTCTTTACAGCAATGAATCCTCATGTCACACACAGTTATCTCTACCTTGACAAAGATGTCAAAAAGGAGGTGAAACTGAACTAGATCCTAAAGGATAAGGAAAGTTAGCTGGGCAGAGAAGAAAAGGCATTCCTAGTAGAGGAAGCAGCTACTACAAAGATTTCAAGGCTCATAAAAGCAGCACGGTTTTAGGGAACTCTGAACAATTTCTTCAAACTAGAACACAGACTAGGGAGTGACAGATGAGACTGGAGAGGTGAGCTGAAGCTAAATGATGCCACATTAAGAAATTTGGATGTTGTCCTACAGGACACAAAGAGCCAAAAGTTTTTAAGCAGAGGAGTGCGGTGATCAGATGTATATTTTCAGAAAAATCATTCTAGGGATGGACTAGAAAAGAGCAAGTTTTAAGACAAAAAATTGTTTTAAAAAAAATCACATGAGGTGAGGGGGAGCTAAACTAAAGCTTTAACAGTGAAAATGTAGCAATGGAGATATAGAGAAGAGAGATAACACAGAGGGAAATGTATTAAGATTTTAGCAAATGATTGAATGCAGGGAGTAAAAGAGCAGGAAGTATGAAAGATGACAATGTAGTCCTTGCCTGGACTGAGATGGGGATATGAGTGCAAAGGCGGCCTTTTGGGGCAAAGACTATGAATTCTGTTTTGGACATGTTAATTTCGAGATACCTGTGGTGAGATGGGGCCTCACTCTGTCACTCAGGCTGGAGTGCAGTGGCGTGACCTCATCTCACTACAACCTCTGCCACCCAGGCTCAAGCAATCCTCCCACCTCAGCCTCCAAAGTAGCCAGGACCACAAGTATGTGCAACCACACCTGGCTAATTTTTGGTGGGTTTTTTTTCATGGTGGTTTTGTTGTTGTTGTTGTTGTTGTTGTTGTTTTGGTAGAGGCAGGGTTTCAAAATGTTGCCCAGGTTGCTCTCAAACTCCTGAGGTCAAGTGATCCGCCTGCCTCAGCCTCCCAAAGTGCTAGAATTACAGGCATGAGCCACCACGCCCGGCCTATTATGATATATTTTCACATTTCACATTCTCTCTCTAAACTGAAATTATGTTTTCATGTGTCTAACTCTCCCAACTAGACTGAAAATCCCTTGAGTGCTCAGATGACCATGTTTTATTCATCTTGTTATCCCATAATATGTGAGCATCACAAGCACAAACTATGTGTTCAAGAAGTATTTGTTGAATGAATAAATGAATTCATTCTCCTAGTACTTAGTAGAGTGTCTGGCACAGAGCAGACATGGAATAAATGATTAACATAGTACCCTAAACATGTTTCTATCTCTACATTATCATCCTCGTGTATGTTTCGTCCTCTCAGACCTACCACTCACTATATGACACAAATCAAAATCCATTATACTTAATGCACTACTATTTCAACAGAGTTTGGTATAGCAAACAACAAGCTTACCAAATCCAGTGCTTTCTCCATTATAACCAAGAATTTAGACAGTCCCTAAGAGCCATCTGATATTTGATTTGATTCATCCTATCACTATCATGACATGATCCACTATCAAGATGTGATCCAGGTATTATATATACCTGTTCCAATGTCCATAACCTTCATCCCTATGTCACCCTCACAGTCCCTTTTCTGTCTTTTGGAAATTGAACAATTACAAATCATTAAAAAATCCTCCCACATCACCTTCAGTGTCTATTATAAATTTTCTTTACCAAAGTCTCTCTCTCCGAGACAAAATTCTGGGTTCAGCTTTCCCACTGTATCCCTATATGACCTCTGGTTATTGAATTTAATTTCTCATCTATAAAATGAAAGTTCCTGTCTTTGTCTACTTTACAAGGTATCTATATAAATCAGTATAATAAAATTTGAAATCCCTATGTAAAGCATGAATGTTGTTCAGATGTCAAGTTACACAGAACCACTGTAAAAATGTATGCTTCCTCAACCTAATACAACAGCCACACCATCATCACTTTAAATTTCTGAAGTTCATAAAGCTATAGAAATAATTTTTTAAATTAAAAATTGGGTTGTCACTTTTTATTTACATAAATTAGATCTTTTTTTAACCCACCATCTACTGTTACCATTACTGCATCAATGAAAGAGCACTTCAACACCAAAAGAATATGAATGATAATCTCTGATAATAAATTTATCTTATAACTAACCATGCTGTCTTTGTTTCTCTCCCTCCATCTTGGATAGATGATAATTTTATCATGTACAGGGTCCTTGGTCCAGTGTTTAGGAATCACTACTCTAAACTCTGAACTATAAGTTCTGACTGTCTGGGCAAGTTGCCAAGTGTTCTACCAATATGGAGGCCTGTTTGTCCTCCAGAAAGAAGCAATGAGAATATACCACAGGACAGAGGAGTCGGCTCTGAAGCTGACTCTGGAAAATAATGGGGACTGAGGCTGTCTAATTCTCGGGGAATGGTTTCGCCCTGTCCAATGTAGAGTTAAGGAAAGACTTAACTCTTCCTGAGTGTGGAAAGAATCAGGATGTCCCAACCCCATGACAGACTAGCAGTAGAGAGGAAAATTTAGTAGTATGAAAGCGGCCGTTATCACTGAATGCCAACACAACTTTCCAGAATTTCATGTGCATTTGGGTTGGTGGGGAGAAGAGGACCTAAAAGAATGCTAGTAAGATGAACCCAATTACAGGGTGTGGAGATGAAGAGATGAATTTTCAGGTGGTTGAAATGTTCAGTATCTTGAGAGTGATGATGGGTTTCACAGATGTTTACACATGTCAAAACTCATCAAACATACATTTTAAATATAATATAAGCTAGCTTTTTAAAACATTCAACTGTAAGAAAGGACAGCAAGGCCACCCTGTTCGGAACCCTAAATACAGTGCTGTATAGGGCAAACCATATGACCTCCATAAAAGTAGAATTAGCAACTGAATATGGTCAGTCCAATCAAAGACCCACAGTTAAGCACAGGTAAGGAGCAGCAGTCGAATAAGGTTGTCCAGAAGGAGGTAGAGAGAAAACACAAGCTGTCACAGCGCAAAACCCTTCATGAGAGGGCCCATCTTCAACTATGCAGTCCAGAGGAGGGAGTCGAAGGAACTGAAGTTTCAGTGATTACTCTGCTGAAGACTGAGCCTCAAATATTATTTTCATTACCATAGTACTACTGCCCAACACACCTTCATTTTCTTGTCCTCCAGAATATGGAAAGTCCATGGGAGCAGAGGAGTCAGGTGCACAACACTTCCATCCAAGCTGCCCTACTTCGCCTAAACTATTGCTCTTACTGAACATGACAGTCCATCGAGGGAGGCCTCAGAATCAACCTCTCACCTTTATCCAAGTCTCACAGCCCTAATTCCCTCCATCCATGCCCCGCCTTTAACTCCCTCACCAATTTGCCGCCACCCCGCAGGCTCCCAGCTGCGCCTTTGACTCTCCCTCTCCTCGCGCAGGCCTTACCCCCTCACACTAGTCCCAGAGTATCCTTCAACTCAGCCCTCAGTGGCCCCAGCCTTAGTAAACCGCGTTCAGGAGTCCCTTCAACTTGGCACCTCCGAAAGCAGCCAGCCTCTCACAGCCCCTCATTTGTCCACTCACCTGTAAGCTCTCATCTTCCTTCTCTTATCTTAGCCACTCACACCCGGACCCTCACCACCTGCCAACACCTCACAACCAGTACAGTAACCAAACCCGGCACTGTCTTTTCCCAGTCTCTCATCCTCCCAAGCGCCTGCCTCTCCAGGCCCTCTGGCCCATGCGTACTGTTCACTCACGGAACGCCGAACCTGGCCGGGCCCGCTTGTTGCGGCAGTGTTAGGTGAGTTCAGACCGCCGCCATCGCTTCTCAGGCGCACCAACCGCGCCCCGCCCCACGCCACACGCAGTCCGCGCCCCCGCGCACCACACGTAACCGCCCGGCGACGCACGACTGGGCAATGGCGTGCCAGCTCATTGGCTGAGCCCGACCAAACCGGAGCAAGGACGCTTGTTTCCTGGCAACGGCTGAACGCAGGGGCGGGATCGCCGACGGCTATCCGAGGGAGGAGCACCGCCTCTCCTCTTGGTTCCGCCCCTTCGTACGTAAATCCCGCCCCTCAGAGGGACTCCGGCGTGTCATAGGGGAAGGCCTCAGGGAAGGTGGAGGCCCGCAGAGCGGAGGCGGAGCCCGGGAAGGAAAGGTCGAACCAGAGGGCAGAAGGCGGGACCTAAGGAGAGACGCGACTTTTACAGGCAGGGAAAGATCAGAAGAGCGGGGCTTGAGAGAGATGGAGCCGGAAGAAAGACGAGAAAGGGGTGGGGCCACGGATTCCGGGCGACGCGTGGAGTGGAAGAGTGGGCATGAGGGGCGTGGCTATCACGAAAAGACAGGAGGAATCATTAGGTGGGCCCGGCCTGCGGAAAAGCGAGGCCTGGAGAGGGCTGACTGCGGGCATTCTAGTTCATTTTGCTGCCTCGTCGTGCATAGCTTGGTCTCTAGTACCCCAGCGATGACTGCCCCTGGCTCGCCCAACACCTTTGTGCTGTGCTGCTCCGTGACCCCTTGAGCACTTAGTCAAGGAACACGGAATAAGTACCTGCATGCCCAGCTGGATTCCAGATCAGTTAGAACCAGTCTCTGCTCTCCGGGACCTCAGAGAATTGCAACGTAGTGTGATAAGTGCATTACTACGGGGGCCATCTAGAAGCAGCACTTAGCATGATTTGTATGTATAGAGGATGAGAGGAAGGTATGGTGAAGGAGCTTAAAGAAGATTTCCAGGAGGAGATGGTGTCTAAGCCGAGTCTTGGGAAACAAGCAAGAGTAAGATAAACTAAAATAGAAAAATAGAAGTTTCAGATAAAGTATGTAGTTTTAAAAGTATTTTACCGGCTGGGCGCAGTGGCTCACGCCTGTAATCCCAGCACTTTGGGAGGCCGAGGCTGGCGGATCACGAGGTCAAGAGTTCGAGACCAGCCTGACCAACATAGTGAAACCCCGTCTTTACTGAAAATACAAAAGTTAGCTGGGCGTAGTGACGTGCTCCTGTAATCCCAGCTACTTGGGAGGCTGGGGCAGGAGAATCGCTTGAACCTGGGAAATCGCTTGAACCTGGGAGGCGGAGGTTGCAGTGAGCCGATATGGCACCACTGCATTCCAGCCTGGGCAACAGGGTGAGACTCCGTCTCCAAAAAAAAAAAAAAAAAGTATTTTGCCAATGTTAAATACCTGGTTTTTATCATTGTGCTCTAGTTATATAAGATCATAACGTTAGGGGAACATGGATAAGGAATTCATAAGAACCCTGTATTATTTTTACAACTTTTCTGTAAGCCTAAAATTAGTTCAAATAAAAAGTATTTAAAAAGAAATCGAAGTTTCAGACCAAAGGATCAACATATACCAGAGAAAGGAAGAATGGACAGCATGTGGGAGGTGCTATAAGAACTGCAGTCAGTATAGTGTGTCTGGAGCCTAGGCAACATGTGAGGAAACATTGTGAGATGAGGCTGAAGACATGGACTGGAGAACTTTATAAACCATGTTAAGGAATTTAGATTTTATTTTTGGGATGATAGCTATAAAGAATTTTATACATAGATTGATAGTGAGGGGGACTTTGCAGAAGGCCAAACAAGCTGATAAGGCCCAAACTAGAGTAGCAGAAATGCAGAGAAGTGGACATGTGGACTTCTAGAAGGTAGATCACCATGGTTTGATTATTGGGTGGATAGAAGAGGAAAATAAGAGGAAGAATTAAAAACTAATGCTTAGTTTACATAAATTCAAAAACAGGTAAAACTAAACTGTGATATTAGAATTCAGGTAGTGATTACTCTTGGAAAAACATTGACTGAAAGGGGCAGAGTGGGGCTCCTGAGGCACTGGTGATATTCTGTTTCTTGACCTGAGTGCTTGGTTATATGGGTGTGTTCACTTTGTGAAAATGTATTAAGCTGTACACTTAAGGATTATACACCTTTCTCTGTGTTTGTTTGTTCTGGTTACTATGCTCTGTGACAAACCAACCCAAACTTAGTGTCATAAAAACAATAGCCATTTTACTATGTGCACAAATTCTGGGAATTTGGACAAGATGCAACAGGAATGGCTTGTCTCTATTCCATGATATCTGGGGCCTTATCTGTAAAGCTTGAACATCTAGGGGTGATTTGAGGCTGGTGACTGGAAGCATCTGGAGGCTTCTTCAGTCACACATCTAATTCCTGGGCTGGGATAACGAAAAAGCGAAAGTCAGTGGGGAAACTGTCAAACAGAACTTCTCACAATATGATGGGTAGGTTCCAGGAGGGAACATCCTGAGAGGGAGCTACCAGACAAGAAGCATTCCAAGAGAACCAGAGGGAAGCTGCATGGCCTTTTATGATCTGGCCTTAGAAGTCATACAACATCACTCCTGCTATACTCTATTGGTTGAAACTATCACAAGGGATTGGTGTCGAAGAATTTGTGAACATTTTTTTTAACTGCCACAATGTTATACAGTAATAATAATAAATGCTGTCATAGGTTTTTTGCTGAAAGGGCATAGATAGGAATTCTAGAAGAAAAAGTGGAGGAAAATAATGAGCTCAGTTATAGACTCAATGGGTTGAAGGTGACTGCAGGATATCCAAGTAGGAACATCCAGTGAGCAGTTAGTCATATAGAAAACCGCAGCTCAGGGAGAGTTCTCGGGAGCCACTGTATGGGAAAGCAAGTCTGTGGGTGACTGACATCAACCAGACAGCGTTAGGAGGATGGCAAAAGTGGAAAGCCTAGAACAGAATCCAAGAAAAAAAAACACCGTCATAGAAGGAATAGACAGAGGAGCTTATGAAAGACACTAAAAATAAATAAACAGAAAACTAAGACATTATGGCATCACAAAGGATTTTATTCATTTTGTTGCATTATTTTGAATATTGTCTTTTTATTTTAACAAGCGTAATACTTTTCAAAAAGAAATTAAGAAGCCATGGGAAAAGAGAGTTTTACAAAAATTAATTAGGGACCACAGGTTTTTCTTCTAAGAAACACTCCAAAAACACAAACCGGATTTTATCACTGAACTGTGCAAAACTCTTCACAGGCTCTCTGTTGCCATTAGGTAAAATCCAAGCTTTATAACATGGCTGACAGAACTCTTCCTGAGCTGGCCTCTGTCTATCATTCAACCTCATCTCTCACCGCTACCCGCTAGGCCATCTTAAAAAAGCCAATTGATGTTTGCCCAGTCACCCATGCTTTTTGATATCTCTATGCCTTTGCCCACTTTGTGCACTCTGCCTCTAGTGCTCTTCACCCTCCCATCTCTGTACCCAACTCCTATTCATCCTGTAGAACCCAGGCTCTGTAGGGACACTTCATGGATACTATAATAACCTTCTGTGTATCCACCTAACAGAGTACTCATCAGTAGCCTGGCAATGACTGCTGCTGTTTAATTACCTAATGTGTAATTACCTGCTGGCCTGACTATTTCACCTAGCAGACTGTGAGCTTCTGGAGAGGTGAGAGTGTGTCTTATTCATCTCCAATTCCTAGTACTTAGCACAATATTGGCCTGGCACACAGAACACCTGCCTATGGGTGTTATGATTTTGACTTGTTGACTGAGAAAGATGATAGCAGTGAAAGGAACATCAGGTTGAGGGAGAACTTATAGTGTTTGTTTTGATGTAGGAGATATTTAAGCAGGTTCACAAAAAGAGAAAAGTTGAAAGATTAGGGACCATAAAACACATGGAGTAGTTGGTAGGATGAGGTACTAGAAGTAACAAGAAGGAAATGAACACAAAAGAACCATAGGATGGCCCCATCGCACTATCTATGATAGTGGTGTGATGGGGGAAGATGTAGGTGGAGGTAGATATGGGTGGGATGTAGGTTACAAAAATAGAGCTCACTTCTCATGTGAGAGACATCTCTTTGTCCCTGGAGAATAGTTTAGCACCTGACATAGATGAGCCATTCAGTTATAATTGTTAAATAAATAAATAGTGAGGCCCAAACAGAGAATGTACAAAGATAAAACAGAGTGTTTGATCCTACACTAAAACTCAGGTCTTCTGACCCAGAGGACACCTATGTAGCTCAGTTGCTGTGGAAAGAGGGGAGGAGGAAAACAGAGACAAGACCCAGGCTTCCCTCTGAGGCATGCACCCCCACCTTCTCCAGGGATCTTATTAGAGGTGTTTAGCTGGGCAGGCAGAGTGCTAGAGCTAGACCGTCTCCACCCCTTCAGTAGCGCTAGCTCTGGCTGTGTTGCTAAGAGCCTCAAAGACAAAGAAGTCACACCAGGAGCCCAAGGGCAGCCTCCTTCAGGCAGTCAGGCACTAGCCCCCAACTCCCAAGTCCCCTACAGGCAGAGAGGGTGTGAATATCTCACACCCCAGCACCAGACCACAGAACTATGAGCCAGGACACCAAAGTGAAGACAACAGAGTCCAGTCCCTCAGCCCCATCCAAGAACAGGTGAGAAGTCCTGGTCCCTTGTGTGGGATCTCTCCTCATTCCTCTTGGTACCCCAGTCACAACTACAACTTTGAATACCTGGTGAATAAATGAAGCAAGACTTTCCTTCTTACAGGAAGTCGCTGCCTGTCCTGGACCCATCTGGGGATTACTACTACTGGTGGCTGAACACAATGGTCTTCCCAGTCATGTATAACCTCATCATCCTCGTGTGCAGGTGTGGCAGGGGTGCTAAGGGAGGGGCTGGAAGCCAAAAAGAGGACTAAAGAGAGGCCAAGGAGAAGGGCAGACCCTTGGTGGGGCAGGGAGGAGGAGCAACTTCCATGGGAGGGTCTGAGACAGAGGGTTGAGGGCCTTAGGGAGACGCCTCACACACAGAGGGTGCCCTTAATCCGATCATGATTAACCCTGCCCTGCAGAGCCTGCTTCCCGGACTTGCAGCACGGTTATCTGGTGGCCTGGTTGGTGCTGGACTACACGAGTGACCTGCTGTACCTACTAGACATTGTGGTGCGCTTCCACACAGGTCAGTGAGCTTCTAGGAATGACCGTTTGTTCCACCTTCCCTTCCTAAAGATAGCCACTTAAGAAGTAACAAGAAAGGCACCCCCCGCCATGCTAGCACCTTCGCGTGCCTCCAGGCCTGAGAGTATCCCAGTGCTCACCCCAGAAACCCCAGAGCAGAGTTATACCCGGCTCCACCCTGTCCTTCAGACAGTCTCCCTGGCCTGCCCTGGGCAGCTCATGCCCAGTCCAAGCTTGACTACAGCAGGTCCCCTTCCTACCCGCCACCTCTCCCCAGGATTCTTGGAACAGGGCATCCTGGTGGTGGACAAGGGTAGGATCTCGAGTCGCTACGTTCGCACCTGGAGTTTCTTGTTGGACCTGGCTTCCCTGATGCCCACAGACGTGGTCTACGTGCGGCTGGGTCCGCACACACCCACCCTGAGGCTGAACCGCTTTCTCCGCGCACCCCGCCTCTTCGAGGCCTTCGACCGCACAGAGACCCGCACAGCTTACCCAAATGCCTTTCGCATTGCCAAACTGATGCTTTACATTTTTGTCGTCATCCATTGGAACAGCTGCCTATACTTTGCCCTATCCCGGTATCTGGGCTTCGGGCGTGACACATGGGTGTACCCGGGCCCCGCGCAGCCTGGCTTTGAGCGGCTGCGGCGCCAGTACCTCTACAGCTTTTACTTCTCCACGCTAATCCTGACTACAGTGGGCGATACACCGCCGCCAGCCCGGGAGGAGGAGTACTTCTTCATGGTGGGCGACTTCCTGCTGGCCGTCATGGGTTTCGCCACCATCATGGGTAGCATGAGTTCTGTCATCTACAACATGAACACTGCAGATGCAGCCTTCTACCCAGATCATGCGCTGGTGAAGAAGTACATGAAGCTGCAGCACGTCAAC